TAGTTAAGGAGATCGGTCTAAATGTATCAGGCTGTTGGGGCTTAAGGATAGGGACAATGAGACTATTGGTCCAGGAAGTAGGAAGAACTCCCTCAATGTAACTGGTATTATAACAGTGCCAACAAAGGGTTATCAGGCACGTGCCTTAAAGTGGTCAGGTCATAGGTGGTAATGCGTGGGAAAGTCACCTTGTAGTGTGCAATAGGTTGTGCTAAGCTGATGGCACAGTGTTATTATATTTGAGGTAATGGTAAACCATTACCGGGTCGGGTCATACGGTGCCTGTGATATGGAAAGTTTTCAAGTATGATGCAAGGAAGGCGAGGAAAAGTCCAGTTCCTTGGATCAAGAACAACTCACCAGCATCGAGGAACTTTCCTTGAGTGTTATAGACTAGGATGACTTCTGCCCCTTTCTCGTAAGTTTATCATTAAATAATCAGTATGATCCAAGAAGCAGAGATTCAATTCCCTGATTAAGAGCTTTTCACCAGGATCACGGCACCTTCCTCATAATAATAATAATTATAATCTTTATTTCTACAAGTACATGTACAAGGTGTGGAAAATACTGTACATATTTTCCAGAAATTCAGTATTTATATGTAAATAGATGGCCATACTGTATTTAATAATATTTATGTCATAGAAAACGGAAAGCCTGCGTCTGGGCAGACGAGACTCGCCATCTTGGTTTTGAATTTTGTACAAACGTTGGTATAATGGGAAGAATTTTTCGTGCTCTAGAGGTTAAAATTGTGTTGACATCTCTCAAATATGAGGCAAAATTGGTGGATGTGCATTCCTGCATAACTTGAGATATCAGACGACTGGACAAGACAGCTCCAGGAACCTCAGATAAGCTCTCTAGATTTGTGTGTAATTCTGGCCAGCATTATTTTCATAGATTTAGTTAGAGTGAGGTTTTCTGAGTATGATACACATTAATCTCCAGTCAAATTGGTGAGTGATATTAAGATATATTTTCCTTCTGTTATGTAATTGTGTGTATATATAACCTTTATTATTAATATACAGTCCACAAATTTATATATTTACCAGTATTCCTGGTGTATGTATATTTCATTTAATTAATAGGTCCAGAGCAACTTGTGGTTATGACAGTGGTAGGTATCGAAGGGGGACATTTTTTTGCGACCTAGGTGTCCCAAATTCCTACTTGTCTATGTAACATTGATAAATAATAATTATCTTTGTTATCATTTACTGTTATGTACATAATTAGTTACATTCAGATAAATGCAATTTTCCACACAAGGTATATCAACCTAGCTGACATCAATAACATACTACTGTATATGTTATGCAGAGCATTTCCCGCAAATTAGGTCAGTTTTGTCCCCAGGATGAGACCCACCACCAGATAATTAACACCTAGGTACTTATTTTACTGATAGGTAAACATGGACAGCAGTTGTCTTAAGGAAACACGTACTAATGTTTTTCAAATATAAGTACAAATACCAGTCTGTATTTTAGCACTACTGCACAGGACATAATAATTTCAAGGCCCATAAAATGCATAGCATCTCGGGCAAATTTTGAGACTATACTGTACATTACTTAAAATTTAGTTTTATTTTTAATTCATTTTTTCTCCAAGGGTCTGTTGTCTCGTAGCTCGATCACTAGCGCACTGAACTCACACACTGAGGTCCGGAGACCGAATCCCCGGCACGGCTGGAAAACTTAAGGATGTGTTACCATAAGACACCTGTTGTCCATGTTCACCCATCAGTATAAAATGGGTACCTGGATGTTAGTTGACTGGTGTGGGTCGTATCCTGGGACAAAACTGACCTAATTTGCCCGAAATGACAGCATAACAAGGGCCTTTCTATATAGCAGTATGTCATTGATGTCAGCTATGCCTGTAGACCTTGTACATGTACTTGTAGAAATAAAGATACGTATATTTATATTTATTTATTTAGTACTAGTAGGAACATAAAAATAGAAGGTACAGGTTAATTTCTAAGATATTAAAATAAAAAAAACATAATTAGTAACTGGGCAAGTGATACTACTGTAGTTTAAATTATAATGCAAATAAAACAATATAGTATATGTTCTACGAAAAATATTTCTGCGGCTGTGTCTAAAAAGGATTGCGTCCTATCTTATAATATAGTACATAAAGTACCTTGGTTTTCATTTGCCCTGGTTTTCGTCGAATTTGGTTTTCGACGACTTTTTTCGTCAAAATAGTCCCAGTTTTCGTTCATCACCTTGGTTTTCATCTGTCGTACCGAAAGTGTCTGCGTGCCCATGCCCACACAAAGCATCCCATGCACGCATTCTGAGTTAGTCTGGCTTTGCTTCTTGTCAAGTGAACATTACCCTGTGCGTTCGTATGAAACATTTTGTAATAATCGATTGTTTTTTGTGCTTGTTTATTGAGTGTGACTGCTAAATAAGCCACCATGGGGCCAAAAAAAGTTTCAGGTGCCAGCCCTTTGATAAAGGAGGTGAGAAACATGATAGAATTCAAGAAAGAACTTGTAGAAAAGTACGAAAGTGGCATACATGTGGTCGATCTCGCCAGGATGTATGGGAAGTCCTCATCAATGATCAGTTCCATCCTGGTGAAGAAAAAAGAAATCAAGGAACCTGATGTAGCAAAAGGAGTCAGCAGTGCTAACGAAACAGAGATCGTAAACAATCGAAGATTTTGAGAAGTTGTTGTTGGTGTGGATCAGTGAAAAACAGTGGAGACAGTGTTGTGTAGGCGACAGACAGATTTTTTTTCTGCGACAGGGGTACAGTGACTGTAAAGCTGGTCCTAGTGCCAGTAAAAGACAAAGAAGGGAAGTAACCCCGGGTAGGGACTTGATACCTGAAGTCCTTATGGAAGAGGATTCCCCTTCCAAAAAATAAACTCTCCTCCCTCTCCCCTCCTCCCCATCTTCCATACACCAACAAGAGTTTTCAATTTTAATGGATAAATGTTCATTTATCCATTAAAATTAGTGCTTTATATTTATTTCTCATTGTTTTATGTATGTAAAACTATAGTTATTCTCTATAAAATGTATTTTTTGTTAATATTTTTGGTGTCTGGAATGGATGTAATTGGATTTACATTATTTCTTATGGGAAATATTCCTTTAGTTTTCGTTGAGTTTGGTTTTCATCAGACTCTCTGGAATGAATTAAAAACGAAAACCAAGGTTCCACTATAATCATAAATAAGTGCTTAACCCACAAGGGTTATACAGCAAGGTAAGTATACAATAATAAAGTTAAGCATTAAACCCAAAAGGGTTATACATTATTATTATTATAATCAAGGGGGATGCACTAAACCCGGAGGATTATACAGCAAAGGGTTATACAGCACTTGGAGAATGAGAGGTAATCAACAGTTTTTTCCAAGGAAAAAGGTAGCTCCAATTCCATGGATTAAAAGCTCTTCACTATTACATTGACCAAGAGTTATACATCCATTGCCTTTAATCATTAGTTCCTTGCTGGAACTAAGGCACCTTCCTTGAGGGGTGAAGGTTGGGTAGACCATGAGTGGGTAGGTTGTAGCAGGTTAATAGACTATATTTCACATACAAGTAAATAAAATTGAATATATAATTACCATTATGTTCATTAGCACTAAATCCACTGATATCACATAGAGCCTGGGGAATGAAAGGCAATCAGGCTTAATCCAAGGAAAGGAGGGTAGTTCGTTACCTGAATCATGAGTTCTTCTGCACAAAGGAATCCCCCACCTCTCCTCAAAGAGATTGAGCAGGAAGCTCTTCCTGGATGAGAATATCATTACATTCTCGGGGAAGTTCTAAATTCATAGGAGTTGTATATTGCCTGCTAGAATGGGAGGCATTCAGATTTGACCCAAGGAAAGGGAGGGTAGGTCTGTCCTTGGAATTCACGGAGTGCTAGACTTGCAGGGGTCATATATAATTATTATAATCACAAAGAAGCGCTAAGCCACAAGGGCTATACAGCCAGGGGTCATATAGCACCTGGGGAATGGAAGACAATTATACTAGCTCCAAGGGAGAATAGGTGAATTTTCCATTTTAATCACAAGGAAGCACTAAACCTGTAGGGGTCATATAGCACATGGGAGGCATTCAGGTTCAATAGATCCAACCCCTTGGATCAAGAGACCCTCACTAACATTAAGATTATTATTATTATAATCAAAAAGAAGCGCTAAGCCAACTAACATTAAGAAACTTTCCTTTAAGAAATTATATTTTAAATGTTACAACTTGCTCCATGCAATTACTTAAAAGTACCTATTGGGCCTGGACTGTGTTCAAATGTCCATTTTTAATAAATCCTTTCCAAGGGTAATTATAATTATTAGATGTATGTAGAAAGTCAAAATCTTAGGAGCCCTATTGAGCCTAGGGAAGGTCATTGGATTTTATCCAATTATTATGTGAAAAGCAAGAGCTAAGATCATGTGAGGTTTGTTCCAAATGGAAGGGAAGGATAACTCTTGCCTACAAGTCTTTCACAAACAGAAAACTTCTTGCCATTCCTTATGAAGTGCCAAACCCAGAAGGATCATCACACCTGGGGAATGGAAGGTAATCAGGTTTGATCTAAGGAAGTAAAGGGAAACTCAAACTCTTTAGAACAAGATTATATAATCATGGGGGAGTGCACATATGGGTGGGTGGGGGGTGGGGGGTGATGGAAGTTATTCAGGCTCAATTCAGAGAACTGGAGCAGATCCAATTCCCTAGATCAAAATCCCCTCACCAGCATCAAGGAACCTCATTTGAGGGTTTTAGAACAAGAACTCTTCACTAACATTGAGGTGTCTTCCTTGAAGGTTCATAGTAATTATTACTTTTTCTCTCTCTGCCTCTTCTTACTTATAGTATCATAATTATGGAGAGGTGCTAACCCTATGCACCTTCCTTATGGATGTTGAGTTTCTTTGACATATGACAAACAAGGAAAATGAAAAATTAATTAGAATAAAATTAGTATACATGTATTATAAAATAATTTGATAAATATTTCTCAAATATTTATTTATTACTACATCATTTTATGTTTCAAAGCAAAATTTTACTGGTGAGTCTTCAGTTCATTTCATCATTCCTTCTTCTTTCATGATTTCTTCAATTAGTCTTCTACGTTCCTCTTGCCGCCTCTGATTCATGGCTGCTATAGATTCATAATCTAAATTTGATTTTGGCTTAGATTCTGTTTGCTTATCAGACTTGTGTTTAGGATGGCTGCGTTTTTCTGGTGCCTCCTGAATGAGTGAAACTTCTACAGGTTTGCCAACTTGACCTTTTTCATATTGCACTGCCATATCCTAGAACAAAAGTTTTGCTTATAAAAGAACTCATTTTAAAAAAATATTGGTCAAATAACATGTTATTGCAGAAATTAGCTTCATGCATTACTCTGTAGAAATTAAAGTTACCTCCATCTCTGTAGAAATATGTTATGTAAAGAAAAGACACACTGCAGAACAAGCTTATTGGTACAATGTTTTTATCTATAAATGTCATTAACAAACCATAAAGATCTTAGAAAGTAAAAATGTTATCCCTATTAAACCTTGTTCTGCAAAGTGTTTTTCTTCTCCATTTAGTTCCAAGAATATTTTACTGAAACACTTAACTTGTAAACATCTTGCCACATGAACTATAATCAAGATATAAATGATCTGCTACATCAAAAATTTGCCCAATAATATGAAACGTAAATGCAGTTATATTAAATCAGTTTTTTGACAATATATGTGAACTGCATTATTACACAATGGATTGAGCCCAAATCCAGAATCCCATAAATTTACAAATTTATTTTTACTTACTGCTGCTGTTTTAGTCTTGTAATCTATTAATGCTGTTCCCTTTTTTGTTTTCTGCTTCATCACCAGAGCATTGATGTCTCCCCACTGTAAAATAAAAAAAAATAAAAAAGTAAAACACTGATTACATGTCAAGCAGAAATTAAAACTGTATTGTTACCTCATTTCCAGCTTCTCTATGATAGGGAGCTACTGCACTTATATTTTGCAGAGATAGTAACACACTCCAGCTCACTAAATGTTCTTTCTTTCTTTGTTGAGTTTATCAGGGCCACTGACAGCATAAGCCGTATCAAGTCAGACTTCTCGATGGTACGAGGAAAAATTGTTGCCCAAGGCTGGGCGATGAGAGAAAAGGAACAAAAGTTCTTTTGTAAACAGAGACAGAAACTCAAGTTTCCAATTAGATCCGGTGGACTACCTTGCCAAGCCCCAGCAGAGAGGGACACCCACACTCCCACCTGAGTTCAGTAACTGGCTTCCCAGCAAAGACCGATAAAGAATTATCCGCAGAGCGGAAAAAATGGAGCTGGCTAAAAGTAAGCCGATGAACAGGTGCCCCTCCTGTAGACTGCCTGGCAGGCAAAATAGATGAGGACAAGCATCCCAGTGAGAATGGGGGAAATTTGTCACTGATACTCAGGCGAGAGAGAGAGACGTCCACACCCGACAAAGGCTGGTGCAGAAGTCTCACTAAATGTTGTGAGTAACTACCTCCCTCACATACTGGATATTCTCCCTCTCATAAAACATGTATTTCTCTTGCAAAAGATTGAACTATACATACACAAATAAGTGTTCTACTGTATGCTCTAATCATATCACATTTAGATGGGTCTAAAAAAGCCAATCAATTATCCAGATTTTTTAGTGTTGTAATGAAGGACATTCCCACTGCTCCTATTACTCTAAATAACTGAGCACCCACTGTTTTCTTTTTTGCTTATTTTTTTTTAATGAATTTTTAATCTTAAAATTAATGAAGTGCTTACAATACTAGTACATACTGTGGAACCAATTAATTACATACGAACAGTGATCTGCAGTTATGACAATTGCAAATATTCAAACAAATTCTTCTTCTTTCAACAAACCGGCGGTATCCCACCGAGGCAGGGTGGCCCAAAAAGAAAACCAAAAGTTTCTCTTTTCAAATTTAGTAATTCATACAGGAGAAGGGGTTACTAGCCCCTTGCTCCCGGCATTTTAGTTGCCTCTTGCAACACGCATGGCTTATGGAGGAAGAATTCTGTTCCACTTTTCCATGGTAATCATGGAAAATGAACAGAACCATAAGCATAGATAGTTGAAATAGAGAAAAACCAGAGGGGGGGTAGTAACGCTTGTACATGTATGTATGTACTAATTGAAAGTAGAAGTAACTTGATTCGCACCTGAACCTTGATGTTTATGAGACAGAAAAAATGAAACCATGCAATCTAACTGCAATCATGTTGAACAATTACAGCTTTGCGTTTTACCCACATTGGCAGGACGGTATGTAACACTCCCTGGGGTTTGTGTTAAACAAACAACCTACTACTAGAAATATAAAAAATTATTTGAATAAATTTAATTATTTAGTGTACCTAAGTCTAATGAATGCATACCGAACTTTGTTTATATGGCATGTAAAACATGTATGCATGTACAGAGCTCACTTTATTTAGCAACTAGGTTAAGATGGATGGCAAATGAAATTAACAAAATTTCTTTAATTATAAATGTATTGAGCTAGTTCTATTTCTTTAACATTTTTCTTTACAATCAGCGTCTCCACCTAGGCAGGGTGACCCAAAAAGAAAGAAAATCCTCAAAACAGAAAATATATAAATTCAACCTCAATCTATACATATCTACTGTTTTGTAGTGTGCCCAGTAACAAGATGTACAAGACTTAATAAACTTACATGTTGATGTGACAGAACCCTGCTTCTCCTCATGAAAAACAATTACAGCCTTTCGTTTTACACTCATTTGGCAGGACGGTAGTACCTCCCTGGGCGGTTGCTGTCTACCAACCTAACCTACTACCTAGAATTCAAACAAATTATTTGAAATAAATTATTATTCTTAGTTCCTATCTAATGCATCCATATTTTGTATATGGCATGTAAACTGTATGCATGTACAGAGAGCTCACATTTATTTAGTAGATAGGTTAAGAACTATGGATTTAATATTAATAAATTTCTTATGATTATATAATGTATTGTAGCTCAGTTCTATTTCTTTAACATTTTTTTTTTCAACAAGTCAGCCGTCTCCCACCTAGGCAGGGTGACCCAAAAAGAAAGAAAATCCTCAAAACGAAAATACTTTCATCATTCAACCTCACTCATACATAATCACTGTTTTTGCAGAGGTGCCCAGATACAAGTATGTATACATTAATTAAATACAGATAATGATGTGACTGAACTTGTCTTCCCTCTATGGAAATAATTAAAACATTTTTTCAAATTGTTATTATAATCATAACTAAGTGCTAAACCCATAAGGGTCACACAGCACCTTTTCTCAAAGTGCAACACTTGAGGGCAGTTTTAGAGTAAACTTAAGGTTTCAACAGTAACATTTATCATTCTGCCACTGAAGGAAGCCTATGAAAAAATTATAGTATTGTGTCACTCATAACATGTAATGATCATCATGATATAAAATTGGCAAAACTAATGTAAAATAACTGTTTGATCACCAACCTTGATGTTGGGAAGGATGTGACAGAAGAGCATATAATTTTTATTTCACTGGAATTATGATAAAATGTAGGAATAAATAGTTCTAGATTAAAATTTTATCTTATGACATATGCCCACACCAAATAAAATAAAAATATGTACATTAATCATGACTAAACATATAAATACCTTATAAAATAACTGGTGGATTTCTTGCTCTGTATACCCTGGCCAGTCCTCCGTTGGCACCCACTTCACTTTAACCTTATGGCCTTGAGTGTCTGTATTTACTGGATCACTGCTCTTGGACACTTTTGATTTACCTGAAGATGATAAAATATTAATGAATCAAAAGAAGTTAACTGAAAATGGTAAAACTTTGGTGTTTGATAATTTTTTTTTTTAACAAGTCGGCCGTCTCCCACCGAGGCAGGGTGACCCAAAAAAGAAAGAAAATCCCCAAAAAGAAAATACTTTCATCATCATTCAACACTTTCACCACACTCACACATTATCACTGCTTTTGCAGAGGTGCTCAGAATACAACAGTTCAGAAGCATACACGTATAAAGATACACAACATATCCCTCCAAACTGCCAATATCCCAAACCCCTCCTTTAAAGTGCAGGCATTGTACTTCCCATTTCCAGGACTCAAGTCCAACTATATGAAAATAACCGGTTTCCCTGAATCCCTTCACTAAATATTACCCTGCTCACACTCCAAAAGATCATCAGGTCCCAAGTATCATTCGCCTCCATTCACTCCTATCTAATACGCTCATGCACGCTTGCTGGAAGTCCAAGCCCCTAGCCCACAAAACCTCCTTTACCCCCCTTTCCAACCCTTTCGAGGACGACCCCTACCCCTCCTTCCTTCCCCTATAGATTTATATGCTTTCCATGTCATTCTACTTTGATCCATTCTCTCTAAATGACCATACCACCTCAACAACCCCTCTTCTGCCCTCTGACTAATGCTTTTATTAACTCCACACCTTCTCCTAATTTCCACACTCCGAATTTTCTGCATAATATTTACACCACACATTGCCCTTAGACAGGACATTCCACTGCCTCCAACCGTCTCCTCGCTGCTGCATTTACCACCCAAGCTTCACATCCATATAAGAGTGTTGGTACTACTATACTTTCATACATTCCCTTCTTTGCCTCCATAGATAACGTTTTTTGACTCCACATATACCTCAATGCACCACTCACCTTTTTTTCCCTCATCAATTCTATGATTAACCTCATCCTTCATAAATCCATCCGCCGACACGTCAACTCCCAAGTATCTGAAAACATTCACTTCTTCCATACTCTCCTCCCCAATTTGTTTTGTTTGATAATATCTTACCTAAACCAGTTATTAGTTCCCAAGGGTTACAAGAATAAGTTGCCATCTCATTTTGTTGATATTTTCCTATGAGAATCTTATAAAAGTAATCTTCGTGGGAGACGGCCGACTTGTTGAAAAAAAAAAAAAAAATTGTAAATTTATACAGTATAGTATTTCCCTTTCATTATCATATTTTTTTTAAAATTTTCTATCATCATAACCCTTGTACATCAGATTGAAATAGACAACTTATACAACTCATTCTCCAATATACAGCCTCTCCTCACTTAACCCTTTGACTGTTTTCGACGTATAAATACGTCTTACGAGCCAATGTTTCTGACGATATATATACTCAATAATTCTAGCGGCTTCAAATCAAGCGGGAGAAAGCTGGTAGGCCCACATGTGAGAGAATGTGTCTGTGTGGTCAGTGTGCACCACATAAAAAAAATCCTGCAGCACACATTGCGTAATGAGAAAAAAAAACCTCCGATCGTTCTTTTGGAATAAAACGCCGACTTTGAGGTGTGTATTTTCGTATAGTATTTATCGTTGTATTCGCGTTTTCATGGTCTTAGGTGATAAAATGGAAAACATATTACAGAAATAGAGATGATTTTCATTACTTAGACAATGAAAACGACCTTGAAACTGAGCTCAAAGTAGCGGAAATGTTCGATTTTACCAATGTTCAGGAGTAAATAAATCACACCACACGTTCAATACACGTCAACTGGGGAGTCTAATATTCTTTCACTAGTGCACTGATATTATTTATACCATTTTTACAATAATGCAGTAGTCTGCATAACAGTAAATTTTGTATTTTTTTGTATGAATAAAAAATCAAAATAGAAAGCAATAATAACATAAGAGGGGCCTAGAGATGTGACTAATGAACAGAGCATATGTTATTTTAGTGCCACGAATGTCTACCTTGTTTATTCTGGACCCTATTTTGAAATTGGCATCTTTTTTAGTTTGCGTGAAATTGGCCAAATTGCCAATTTCTGACCACCATATTGGGTAGTCCAAATTAGTAAATGGGAGGTTTCTTGTACTCAGCTGATAGATAAAATGGAGTTCTAAAGAAATAGCTATGAGTTTGGTCAACTGGAACAATGGAATTGGCTGAAAATAGGGATCAAAGTCGGCGAAATCGCCGATACGCATATGTCGCCGAGACCGCTAACTTCGCGGGAGCATAATTCCATGAGTTTTCGACCAAATTTCGAACTTTTGGTGTCATTACCATCGGGAAAAGATTCTCTATCATTTTATAAGAAAAAATAATTTTTTTTTTTTCAAAAATTGAGCGACATAGAATGACAGTTTCAGAAAGGGGCCTGAAACAGTCAAAGGGTTAATGATGGAGTTCTGTTCCCACGATCACATCAGTAAATGAATTCACTGCTAAGCAAAGAGCATACTATAATGGTAGTGGGTTTGTGTCAACCATCTTTGATATTGTTTTAATGTCACCTTTGCACCATTTATAACATTTTTAGTATATTTTTAAATGTTTATACAGTAGTGTAATGTATATTGTAATAAACAGAATAGAGGAAATCAGCTGTAATATACATTATTTAAGTATGTATACTGGTCAGAGAGCCCTTCATAAATCCTAGTCGTCGGTAAACGAGTATGTCACTAAGTGAGGAGAGGCTGTATTAAGAAAGCCATTTGCCTAATATCTAATACTGTAGCACCAGGGGAAAAAATAAGAGGCCATCACTCCCTGTAAAATGGCTATCTTAAATTATCAACAACATTCAAAGCAGTCAGTGTGCAGAAGTTATTTAATAAAATGAAACCATCTCACCATCTTTCATGTAGACCTACGTCACTGAAACCAGTGTCGCAGACGTAGATCTGCATCTTCATCATAGTTAACTCAAATATTCTGTGGCTGTTAAATTTTGGCCTAGACATGAGAGAATGGGTGTGCAGTGGGTGTACATGGTATAAAAATTAATCCTGCCTCATGCAGTGAATGATGGGAACAGCAAACCTCTGACCCTGTGTTTGGGTTACAAACAGTAACTCTGAGGTGTTTATGGTTTTGTTGGCTTTTCCTAGTATTAAATGACAGATCAGAAGATACACTAGTGAAATGGAGGTGATAATGGTCGGTTTGAGACCATTAGTGGCCTGAAAGAGTCCTCATAATAATGGGAATACTGTACCTCCAATCTGTTGTATAGATTTTTACAAGGGATGTATTAATTATTTGGATGGTCTAAAGTGCCATTCTTGGTCATATTGTACAAGTCGAGACACAGGGTAAAACTTCAATTTCTCGTGTGATGTTGATTTCAGAATGGAGGGCAAGTGTTATACAGGAGAGACCAGGGAATGTGATAGTGAATGAAGGAGAGGTTGTTTTAGTGGCCAGAATGCCTACAGAGTTTATTTTGGATTGTTTTCAAATTGGAATTTGTTGAATTTTGTTTAAAACTGGCAAAATTATTGACTTGGCATTTTATAGTTCTCAACTGATATAGAAGGCATACTAGTCAAATAGCCAGGAACTGGGTCACTTTGAGGTATGAATAGGTCTTAAATAGGTCTCAAAATGAGCAAAACCACAGTTGTGTAAAGTGCTCCTAGAGCTCCAGCTTTGCACTTGCATAAATCTGTAAATTTTCCATCAAATTTTGCATTTCTGTTGTCATTAATTTCAGAAAAAAGATTTTCTACTTTTTCAAATTATTATTTTTTAAAAAGAGAAACGCTGTTGGCATTTAATTTTGGGTGTTGTGACAGTGAAAGGGTTAATACATTTTCCAACAGTTTTCTTTGAACACACTCTGAAGTAAATTAATAAAAATCATAATATGCTTTAGTAATGTCAATGTCTGCAATTAACCCACATTGTTAAATACAGTAATTTTTTCATATGACTACCTGGCAGCATGCTCAATAGCACCCTTAGCTAAGGCTACAGGACAGGCTCCTACCCATTAACTTCAATTAAAATTTATGCCAGTGGATAGGAAAACTGTTTTAAAATGTTATACATCTTATTTAATAACAGAATTTTTGTCATTACTAATGTCTCTGGTACAATTTTTTGCAATCTTACTGTGTAAAAGTTCCTCCTCAACCTCCCTGTTTACTCGAGCCAATTCCTCTGCAATAAGCCTTTCACCTTCATCTTCCAGTCTTTTTAATTCACGCCGAAGTCTGCAAAACAGAAATAAGGTTAACAGGCTAATGTAGATACAATCATATAGTTTATTCTGGTTGTTTGCAATTTTTTTCTTATTTAACAGATACCGTATTGTACTTAATTTTCTCGATGAAACCCATAGAGAAACTACCACAGCAAGGCACTATAAGACATACAACTTACTTTAGCAACACCAGGAATACTTGTTTGTGCAGTCTATATTCCTAAGTACATAGTGAATTATCTTACACAAAGAAACTTTTGATGGTGAAGTAATTTAAATGATAAAGTCAGTACAGTACTGTACAGTAAAATTCTCTAAACCAGCCCCTCATTTCACATATCAACATCTATAAATTAGTCAGAAGTTTTAGTTCCCAATTAAGCTTTCATGCTCCTTGCATTTATATTTTAATGGGGAGAGGAGAGAAGACATTACCCATTCTTATAAGAAATTATGAGAATGGGTAATGTCCTCATTTGTGTTTCAGAACTCATGTCTCTTTATGTACATACTGTATATTGATCACTCTAATCCATATTAACATTCATAAAAAAAAAGAATGATCTAAGAGACAAGAAATTTAGGCAAGAGAAAGTCACTGAACATATTTTGAACCAAATCTTACAGTTAGTTTTAAATTTATGGGTTATGTGCTAAGCCATAAAAACATAGGCACTGCAAAAAAATTTGCAAATAATCAGGTCTATTCACGAGTTACTCATCAGTAAAAATGGATAAATGAATTCTACAAATTAAGAACCCCACCAATTTGTGGGGGTATGAATATATTTCATGCTCACTCAAACTTACCCCTCACAGTACCAGTCTCTGGAGTAACAGATTTTGATTTGAGAGGTGGTCAGTTACGAAATATTATTGTCATTCAAGAAAACTGATGAAAAACAAAAATTTTGACAATGTTACTAACTTTTCCTCTTCTGATATATGCAGATGTTCCCTAGTTTGTTGAAAACGTCGTTCCCGCTCTTCCAAATCTGACCTGAACTTCTGCGTTTTGGCATCAGCTTCACGAGCTCTGACAGCTGCTGCCTTACGACTCTTCAGTACCTTGTCATAAGCCTTACGTGTTCCTATTATAAAACATGAAATTTTAGTATAAAAGAACAGTAGAGTATTAACATTAACAAGTGGATAACTGGATTGTGAAAGTAAGATTTCTTCCTTTAGCCTGAATTTGCCTACTGTGTATTTTCTTTTGTCATAATGATAGAAAAGTACTTAATGGCCAACTAGTTCATTCTATAATGCAATGTTTGACAGCTCTGTTACAGATTGATTTTCACAGATTTATGGCAAAAAAAAAAAATCACTGCTTATTCGGCAGGAAACACCCTTGCCAAATAGGCCAAAATTGCTTGTTGGCTTTTTCGGCATGATATAGTATATGTATACGTATAATAAATGCCATAAAAACTAGAAAAATAAACCATTACCTCCATTTTTTGTGAACTACAAAAGGAGGCTTTAGGAAAGGTAGGGGGTGTGTGGACCAGGTGTTTACAGTGAAACATATAAGTGAACAGTATTTAGATAAGGCTAAAGAGGTCTTTGTGGCATTTATGGATTTGGAAAAGGCATATGACAGGGTGGATAGGGGGGCAATGTGGCAGATGTTGCAGGTGTATGGTGTAGGAGGTAGGTTACTGAAAGCAGTGAAGAGTTTTTACGAGGATAGTGAGGCTCAAGTTAGAGTATGTAGGAAAGAGGAAATTATTTCCCAGTAAAAGTAGGCCTTAGACAAGGATGTGTGATGTCACCGTGGTTGTTTAATATATTTATAGATGGGGTTGTAAGAGAAGTAAATGCGAGGGTCTTGGCAAGAGGCGTGGAGTTAAAAGATAAAGAATCACACAAAGTGGGAGTTGTCACAGTTGCTCTTTGCTGATGACACTGTGCTCTTGGGAGATTCTGAAGAGAAGTTACAGAGATTGGTGGATGAATTTGGTAGGGTATGCAAAAGAAAATTAAAAGTGAATACAGGAAAGAGTAAGGTTATGAGGATAAAAAGATTAGGTGATGAAAGATTGGATATCAGATTGGAGGGAGAGAGTATGGAGGAGGTGAATTATTCAGATATTTGGGAGTGGACGTGTCAGCGGATGGGTCTATGAAAGATGAGGTGAATCATAGAATTGATGAGGGGAAAAGGGTGAGTGGTGCACTTAGGAGTCTGTGGAGACAAAGAACTTTGTCCTTGGAGGCAAAGAGGGGAATGTATGAGAGTATAGTTTTACCAACGCTCTTATATGGGTATGAAGCATGGGTGATGAATGTTGCAGCGAGGAGAAGGCTGGAGGCAGTGGAGATGTCATGTCTGAGGGCAATGTGTGGTGTGAATATAATGCAGAGAATTCGTAGTTTGGAAGTTAGGAGGAGGTGCGGGATTACCAAAACTTGTCCAGAGGGCTGAGGAAGGGTTGTTGAGGTGGTTCGGACATGTAGAGAGAATGGAGCGAAACAGAATGACTTCAAGAGTGTATCAGTCTGTAGTGGAAGGAAGGCGGGGTAGGGGTCGGCCTAGGAAAGGTTGGAGGGAGGGGGTAAAGGAGGTTTTGTGTGCGAGGGGCTTGGATTTCCAGCAGGCATGAGTGAGTGTGTTTGACAGGAGTGAATGGAGACAAATGGTTTTTAATACTTGACGTGCTGTTGGAGTGTGAGCAAAGTAACATTTATGAAGGGGTTCAGGGAAACCGGCAGGCCGGACTTGAGTCCTGGAGATGGGAAGTACAGTGCCTGCACTCTGAAGGAGGGGTGTTAATGTTGCAGTTTAAAAACTGTAGTGTAAAGCACCCTTCTGGCAAGACAGTGATGGAGTGAATGATGGTGAAAGTTTTTCTTTTTCGGGCCACCCTGCCTTGGTGGGAATCGGCCAGTGTGATAATAAAAAAAAATAATTATAAATATAATGGTAGTAATAGAGATTTCTTCCATTTTCATGGTTAGGCTTTAGTTACTTCATAATTACCAAATCGCTGAATAACAATACATATACAAATAATTTCAATTTATATTTTATATGTTAATCCAATCTGCCATGCTGTATCATATGATATAAGGGAGAAACTGGGGAAGATGAGGAAATGACTACAGTACAGCAAGGGTTGCATGGTCCCCACAGACAACAGGTGAAGGGGTAAGGCAACAAAACTTCATTACCTGGATCTAGCAAAATCTCGAGAATCTTCTTTAGTTTGTCAAATTCTGCAGAAGCATCAGGGTTATCTGGATTCTTATCCGGATGGCATTTAAGAGCCTTCTTTCTATATGACTTCTTTATCTGAAAAGTTCAGAGCATAAATCACTTTTATATAAGTTGGGTAATAAATTGAATACTGTACTCATCCCTTCTACTCTTAATCTTGTTTAACTATCCAAGAATACGCACATTCTGTGCAACCAGCCAATATTGCCTGGAGTATACCTGGCTACAACAGTATGTATAACAAAAGCATTACAATGGTCTAACAAAGACCCACTGTGACCTTAATCCTGTTTTTTTGAGCCACTGTTCACAGAATGAGTGAAGGGAGCAAAATAAACTTGATGCTCAGGTGCCACAGAGTAAGCATGAAAAACATACAGAGGACTACAAAATTAATATACTGTACTGTATAAGGAATTTTTCATACAACTATAAATTGAGAGCCATAAACCTTTTCTCTTTTGAAAGATGCAGAATAAGAGATATGGCTGAAGTTTGTAAGTGGAAGACACGTCACAATGACGTGCATTTGAAGGAGCACTGCAGTAGGCCAACTGGCCTATGCTAGGCAGGTTAAGTAATTAAGTTTATTTAGGTACAGGTACACATAAATACAGTTACACAGATTATCATACATAGTAGAATATGTGTAGATTACCTAGAATAACCCTAAAAAGTCAGACAAAGTGACTTATTTCCATTGGGGTCCTTGTGATAAGTATTATTTACATTTAAAAGTTGAAACAGTTGAAATAAGCATGTAATTTAACTATGTGAAAAGTATTTATAATAAAAGATGATATACTAGGGTTAAGGTAAACTCACATTAACATTAAAGATAGGATAAGATCATAGTACATGTTATACAAAAAATCACTCTCCTCCCTTTCTGTAGCCATATTCTTATCAAAATATCATATTCTTATTAACATACAATGCTTCTCAATCATGCATAACATGGCCCTGCCCACTCATCTCCTGCAAGTGATCTCACCTTTCTACCCATCTTTTTGTCGCACCGAATCTCTTTCTCCTTTATAAATAGTATACTGTATTTTTAGTAATTTCTGTATTAGGAGTGAAATATCCACCAGTGGTATTAATACTGGAGATACAAATATGGTGCTGAGGATACTTAATCAAGAACTGAATTATTATTATATATTATTATTATTGTTATTATTATTTGCCCAAAATGCACCACATACTACTGGCTCTCATTTGTACCTAACAATATTTTATTACATGCAAACTACATTTGTATACATTTGTATAAAGTGCTAAACCAAAAAGGATCATGCAGTGCTGTGGGAAAAAACTGGAAAAATTTAACTCAAATTAGTTTAATTCTGATTTTGAAAGGATTCAGCAAAGTAGTGGCTGGAAACTTGAGTTGTAGAGGAGTGTCACAATGTGTCAGGTAGTGATGGAGACAAGCACTTTAGGCAAGTTAAAAAAAAAAAAAAAAAAGCTGAACAAATGAGTTAAAATTGTTATTAAATTCACGGGGAAGCGCTACAACCATTGGGTTAAAAGGGTTTGGTGTGCAAGACTTGTCTAACATGAGCCAGGTTTTTCAAACCATTCATCACATGAGCCAGTAGGCCTACTATTTTCAGCTAAGAGCTGTTAACTCTCCCTTAACTCATTTCAAAGCTCTGTCCCGAACCTATCCCCCGCAAAAAAACGAAAAACTAACCTCCTTCTCTTCCGCATTAATAGATATCTCCAGAATTTCGTAAAAATCAAGCTTCATGAGGTCTTTACAACGTTTCTTCGACATGGTCTTGTCTTTATTGGTTTGTTTGGGTTTATAGGGCTACCACAGCTGGCACTGTATAACGTCGTGTTGCCCAGTGACTTGCGCCACCCAGCGTAGTACACACATTGTTTTAGTTGTGCCGCCTAAGTTTTTTTAGTTTAATATCTTTATTATGTATCCCATACCCATCCTGTGGGCGGTACAGTGGCTAGTTTATTGTGCACTCCATGCTCGTCCTGTGAGAGGTAACGCAAAAAATAGTATTATAGAGGCCACAATGGGTCTTTGTCAGACCACACTGAGCATTGTTATATCACTAGAAAGGATCTTCAGTCATTTCGTATTTTACAATTACTTAATATAGCTGTGCACAGTACAGTAAGGAATACAATTTAAAAAAATATGTAATTACCGTTATTTTTGTTTTTTTTTTACAATTTTGTCATAATAATAATAATAATAATAATAATAATAATAATAATAATAATAATAATAATAATAATAAAATATCTTTATTTCTACAAGTACATGTACAAGGTATACAGGCCTAACTGATATCAGTTACGTACTACTATACAGAAAGTCCCTTGTTATGCAGAGCATTTCGGGCAAATTAGGTCAATTTGAGTTGTCGTGCAACCGCCGTGAAAAGAAGACGTCTTCGTTCCTGCTCTGAGCACTGTGCCTCGAGTTTTTTCTTGGGTTATCCTGAGTAGTTCTCGACCAGAGCAGAGAGGAACCTTGCTTACAGTCACTTCGAGCCCCATCCCTTCAAGAGGGTAAGGCTTGTTCACCCCTCATCCTTCCCTCACCCAAACATTTACACTGGCCCATACACTAACACTCTGCTTACATTGCTATCCTTCTGACTTTCCTATCTTCTTCTTTTTCGGCAACTTAGCCTTTGGCGAGTTAACACAAGGCATTTTGACCATCCGGTAGCCCGTGTGGTTTTTTAAAATCCGGCCGATCTTTGCCTTGGGCCCTGTGACCCCTCACCACTCGAGGGTAGGCTATCTTAGGGGCTGACCTTCATAAGTCAGCTGACTTAGGATGTTTAGGGCTTCTACCAAGGAAAGACTTTTTTGTTAAAGTAACTTCTGTGTCAGATGTACCTTCCTGGACATCATGGCGCGGATACGAGTACAAATACGTGTCGATGACAATCAAAAGTCTAAGAAATAAATTCTCGAATGTATTGTTCAAATTAAACTGTTGCTCCAGTGGATGTTTTTCAAACCCACTCTGGGGCAGTACTTCTCCTCTCTTCTGAAGAAGAGTTACTCCAGCTGCTTAAGCAGGACGTTCTTGATAAATTGAAGACTTTTGGTATCGTCCCAATTGCACCTGAAAGCTATTAAGCCCAACGAACTGTGTTTGTGGCAAGAATTAAGAGTTTCATGAGAGAGCTCAGTGGAGGAACTTGTTGCAGACTTTATTCAGGAGAATTCTGAATTTAAGGTTGCCCAAGCATATAAATTCTCTAAACCTGCCAGCAACCAGGTAACATTAAAGTTAATATTTGAGACACCTGAAGCAGCCAGACTAGTATGTCAAAATGGTTTCAAATGTTTTGGCACCAGATGTACACCTGACCAAATCTCTCTTGAACGGTTTGTCAGTGTTACACAATTGTTTTAAATGTTACGCATTTGGCCATACCACCAACAAATGCAGTAGCCAATCACTGATTTTCAGCATATGCTCTGGTGAGCATTCTTTTCGAGATTGCCATAAAAAAACTAAGCCCAAGTGTGTCCTTTGCAATGGAAAACACCATGCTGTTTCCCCTATCTGCCCTGAGAGGAAAAAGGTAATACAGAAAATTCTAGAAGCCAAGAACTAACCAATTCTTCGAAGACCCCTCCCTAGGCACCTCCAACAATGTCCCAGGATTCCTTCCCAGTTCTGCCTGGATCTAGTGGGACTCCTCAGGCCTCTTCCACCGGTTCCAATGTTTGGACTTCTGCCCCTCTTGGAGTGCCTCAATCTAACCCTCACCTACAACAAACACAGCCACAAGGTTCATCCTCACTACCCATGTCTCAGGGGTCCTCAGCCGGGGATATGACGAGAGCTCAACTAATGTACATGATGGCCAAGGACATAGCAGGTGGTGATATTCAACTCTGCTCTAATGTTTTCAGTGATTTGTTAAGGGCTAATGGGATCAGTCAGATAATGTTGAGTTTATTATGGCCCAGCCTCCTCAAGACAGAAAGTATGTGCCCTACTCTACCTCTTCAAATACGCCTAATTCATCCCTTGTTCAGGGCTCACCCGCCTCGCATACCCAGGTTGTCAACTCCCCTCAGCCTGAGGAGTCAATACCTGACCCTAACCATGCCCCAGAGATTGGTGCTTATTCTTCCGCTATTGCAGCTGATCCTGTTGAACAAGAACAGGAACTTTCCCTGGGTACTTCACCTGGCCTACCAAATTTTCCCTTGGTGTGTAATATGCCACTACGGATAAAATACTTTGACATTTCTGAGTGAGTTGCCTCTAAATTCATTAATTCGATCGCATTTCAGCACATAATGGACAATAGTCCATCAGGCAAAGTTGACACTTCGTTTCGTCTACATCTCGAGGTGGTGATTTAACTTCCCAGAGATACTTGTAACACAGCCGGAGCCGAGAGGTTGTGACATTCAAGAATTTGCTTATTTTGTTGGATGCACCATAGACATGTGGCTCCTCCTGCATGATAGAATGATGATGGAAGAACTGATTGGTGTCATTCTCCCTCAGTATTGGGTCGATAAAGTTCACTTGAAGTTCTCAAATCGGTGACAGCCCAAGACTGTAATTTACTCCTTCTCTGAAGGCATTTAACTTAGCCAATCCATTAGTTCTATCATGCATCTGAAGACCAGTGTGAGATGGAATCCACAGATGGTGCACTCCGACTCTATTGTCCACAATCCTACCATACCTGTGTCGGGCTTCTGACACAAGCATGCTCGAGTTTATACTTAAGGAGTTGAACATCATTTATGGATGATAGGGAATCAGTTGCAGTTAGTGTCAGTCTTAGATACATACATGGACGCATTTTGAGTGCAAGGAATATGGAAAATAGTTCTGTTGGAAGGGTAGATGCCCAAATATTGATGCGTGCTCCAGTTTCTTGGTGTGTAGATGAATGGTTCAGAGAACCGACATGTTGATAAATTAGACACAAGTGCAACTCTTGGGTATCTTTACTGAGGAAACGTTTCGCCACACAGTGGCTTCATCAGTCCATACAAAGGAGAATCTTGAAGGACAGGAGGAGAATGAGGTAATCAGTCCCTCAACCTTGAGTCGATGTGGTCAGTCCATCAATCTTGATTGATGGACTGACCACATCGACTCAAGGTTGAGGGACTGATTACCTCATTCTCCTCCTGTCCTTCAAGATTCTCCTTTGTATGGACTGATGAAGCCACTGTGTGGCGAAACGTTTCCTCAATAAAGATACCCAAGAGTTGCACTTGTGTCTAATTTATCAGTTTCTTGGTGAGAGCCATCACTGTATGACAACTCCAGCACGGAGGGCCCGGGTTCGGTTCCCGTCGGGGTGGAAACATTCCGACATGTTTCCTCACACCTGTTGTCATGTTCACCTAGCAGCAAATAGGTACCTGGGTGTTAGTCGACTGATGTGGAGCGCATCCTGGGGGACAAGATTGAGGATCCCAATGGAATAAGACAAACAGTCCTCGATGACGCACTGACTTTCTTGGGTTATCCTGGGTGGCTAACCCTCCGGGGTTAAAAATCCGAAGAAATTCTTATCTTATCTCTCTAACAGCTGCACCAGTGGCTTGATGACAAGAACCGTCAACATAAATAATTTGTGAAAGAGTGTGCTGTGTGACTACGTCACTAATACAGCTTAGGTATCCTGCCTGGCTTCAAGGCGAAGCTTTGGGTGGGATTTAAGATTTTTTTTTTTTTTTTTTTTTTTGGAGAGAAAGGGAGGGATAGTGGTTTGGAATGGGGTAATATTCCACGGAGCGAGGAAGAGCTGCTGTTGCCTTACTTGACACAGATCATGTATCTGGTTCATGCGGAAGTCAGTTCACTTTTTACGATCCATCTAGAGGATCCGATATGGTAAACATGAGAAAATTAGAAAATTAAAACTTTATCAGAGTATAAAACAAATTCCAACCACACAATAGACCGAAAAGCTAACGTCAAAGACCTGGGAGTGAACATGTCGGAGGATGACTCAAGAAATCGTAATGACACGATTGCAAACAAACCATACCCCCGGCCGGGATTGAACCCGCGGTCATAGAGTCTCAAAACTCCAGCCCGTTGCGTTAGCCACTAGACCAGCTAGAAAAATGACAGGATGGATAATGAGAACCTTCAAAACTAAGGATGCCAAGCCCATGATGACTCTCTTCAGGTTGCTTGTTCTGTCTAGGCTGGAATATTGCTGCACACTAACAGCACCTTTCAAGGCAGGTGAAATTGCTGACCTAGAAAATGTACAGAGAACCTTCACAGCATGCGTAACTGAGATAAAACACCTCTATTACTGGGAGCGCTTGAAGTTCCTGAACCTGTACTCCCTGGAACGCAGGCGGGAGAGATACATGATTATATACACCTGGAAAATCCTAGAGGGACTAGTACCAAACTTGCACACGAAAATCACTCACAACGAAAGCAAAAGACTCGGCAGACGATGCAACATCCCCCTATAAGGGGTGTCACTAGCACGTTAAGAGACAACACAATAAGTGTCAGGGGCCCAAGACTGTTCAACTGCCTCCCAGCATACATAAGGGGGATTACCAATAGACCCCTGGCTGTCTTCAAGCAGGCACTGGACAAGCACCCAAAGTCGGTACCTGACCAGCCGGGATGTGGTTCGTACGTTGGATTGCGTGCAGTCAGCAGTAACAGCCTGGTTGATCAGGCCCTGATCCACCATGAGGCCTGGTCACAGACCGGACCGCGGGGGCGTTGACCCCCGGAACTCTCTCCAGGTAAACTCCAGGAGTGTTCACCAGTGCTGGCGAAAGTTTGGAGGGCTTCTTTGCAAGGGTTTGAATGGGTTTGCTTACTATAAAAGGAGATACGATAGGAATAAAGTAAACCGAGTTATTTACATGAACATTAAAGAGAGGAACAGCTTGTAATAATAGGTACACCAATGTTAACCATATAAGAAACCACTCTCCTCCCTTTCTGTAGCTTCATTCATTAGGTACATTTTAGCTTTCTTTCTAAACTGGCTCAATATAGGACAGGCTTTGACATGAGAGGCAATCCTTTCCACTCCTTTATTGCTGCAAAATGGAAGGTGTTTGAAGCCTGACCACCTACTGTGGGTACTACAATATGATATTGTCTTTAGTAATAAGGTGGTTGTTAATGTGTAGCTACAATATGATTGTCACTGAAAACATAGTTGTTAATGAGTGATGATATGATTGTTACTCTAATGATGATGTGGTCGTTACTGTAGTAATAATATGGTGACAACTGTAGTGGTGTGATGGTTATTGTAATGATGATATGGTAATTATTTTAGTGATGTGACAATTATAGTGAAGATGTGCTGACCTAGTAAACAAGTTTATTTAGGTAAGTAAGTTTATTCAGGTATATACAAATACAGTTACATAGATTATAATACATAGCAGTATATATGTAGAGAACCTAGGATAACCCAAAAAAGTCAGAGTGACTTATTTCCATTGGTACACAATTACAATTATCATACAGAGAGACTATTGTAGTAAAGTGATGATGATTGTGGTGATGTGGCGATTATTCTGATGGTGACTATTGTAGTGATGATGTGGTGACTATTCTGGTTATGGTGCAGTGACTATTATAGTACTATGATGACGAGTGGGGGAAGAAATTGTAATATAATCTGCATTACTAACATTGGTCGCTGGATGTGTTTGATGCTGAGCTGAGGTCGAACTACTGCGTATGCGTCCAGCATATTGTTGCGTTTTGTTCAACATTACTACCTCATGTGATAATAAGTGCTGTAAAAAAATATGCGAAAAAGATAATTGAACTTATAAAGTGCAGTACGATGCAGATGAGCAAAGTATCAAGTCATATAGAGTAATCTTTTTCATATAAAACCTCAGTATATCATGGCTGCATACAAAGCCAGGTAAACAAAGCTCATTGTTTTTGCCCACACTTTTGTTATTTATATTTTTTTTGCCCGGTATTGAATGTCATTCATTTTTGCAGGTTGCAGGAGTTTGACACGGTGTTGAGTCAAGGTGTGATAGACATAAAGAAAGTGCGCAAGCTGTGTTTTAGTGGTAAGTAGATGCAAGATGGAGCAACTGGTACTGCCAGTGGGCGTATGTTAATCCTTATCATATTAGCTATTTATTTATTTATTTTATGTCTTTGCAAACAGTACATTGAGATTATGTATTTACAATAGTGGGTTGCAATGCAAAGAGAGCCTTTATTATGCCTTGGCATTTTGGGCCAACTTAACATTATTGGCTTACAGTCTACTTAATACTAAGGAATGTATCATAGTTGTACAGTAGGATAGTAATTATTTCATAGTTGTACAGTAAAATATTAATTATAAATGAATCAAAATTTGTATAATACAAAGATATATTTATATTTATATTTTTAAAATAAGAGAAATGGTGCACTTTAGCCTTGTAAGTCTCATTAAAGTTTGAGGACATCATTAATATATTTCAGAAGCAATAAGACCAAATAAATCCAAATGAAAATAAGTCACTTCACATGGGTTATTCTAGGTAATTTACACGTGTGTTAATATGTTTGATAATTTTAATTGCCCATATTTCAGTAACTGTGCTTGGGTGTACCTTTACTTAAATAAATTTCCTTTCAGCCTTCAGCTTTAATATTGGACGAGTATTAAGTAACATTGTTTAACAAAGAAGATGCCTTGTTATCATTGGGAAGTTCTTGATCCAAGGAATTGAACCTGACCTTCCCACCCTTGGCTAGACTCTGATTACCTTCCATTTCTCCAGGCATTGTATGCCACATTCCTGCTTAGTAACCCTTTCCCCTCCCTCCCCTTCCTCATTAATATAATGTAATCCATTATTTTTTCTTACTTGCATTTAAGTATCAGTATAAATTAGCAGCTTAAAGATAGATGTGTAATTATTTTTGTGGAACTTTATTTTGTTTGTTTTTTCTCAAACTCTTATTATTAGCATTACATTTTCATTAACCCTTAAACGGTCCAAACAGATCGACATTCAAATTTGTATTGCTACAAAAGTAGATCTACTTTTTTTTACATATTTTCAAATATAACAAAAAAAATGTAGATAAGTTTTTTTTACGCATTTTCAAATGTAAAACAAAAAAGAAGATCTATGTTTTTTTACATACTTTCAGATGTTGAAAAAATGTATATATATACGTTTGAACCATTTAAGGGTTAAGGTCTTAATATTTAAGCATATACATACAGTGGAACCTCATTTTTCGGCTGTAGTCCGGTCCAGAAGGTCAGCCTTAATTCAAAACGACCTAAATTCAAAACACTATTTTCCTACAAGAATTAATGTAAATACAATTAATCCATTCCAGACACCCATAAATATTTATTCACAAAAAATACATTTTTTAAAGATTAATTATAGTTTTCCATACACAAAACAATGAGAACTAAATAAAATACATTAAGAACATTTAAATCACTATTACATACCTTTATTGAAGACTCTTGTTGGCTTTTGGAAGATGGAGGAGGAGAGAGGGAGGGCAAATTATTATTTGGGAGGGGAATCCCCCTCTATAAGGACTTCAGGTAACAAGTCCCTCTCTGGGGTTACTTCCCTTTTTTGTCTTTTAATCCCTAAACAGTCCAAGCAGATCTACGTTCACATGTGTAGTGCTGCAAAAGTAGATCTAAGTTTTTTTACATATTTTCAAATATAACAAAAAAAAAAAAGTAGATCAAAGTTTTTTTACACATTGCAACCTATTCTACATTCCACACATGTCCCTAATCACTGAAGAAGGCACCTCCTCCACCCCCTCTTCCTCCTCCTCCTCCTCCTCTGAAGCAAGTTCCTCAACTGTGGTCTGATGCTTAATAAACAAGCACCAAACACAGTGAATTAATTGTGAAATGTTTGAATGAACATGCAGGGTATTATTCACTTAAAGATAAACAAGCAAACAGACTGACTCATGACATTTGCATGGGGAGGCACACAGGCAGGCAGACAGGTCTAGTACTTGGGACAAAACACTGGGCACAGTGCGAAACTTTGGACAAAATTTAGCCTAAAAAACGGTTCTAAACTCAAAACATACTATACTCAGGGTGGACGAAACTCGGGAGTTCCACTGTACAGTGGACCCCCGCATAACGATTACCTCCGAATGTGACCAATTATGTAAGTGTATTTATGTAAGTGCGTTTGTACGTGTATGTTTGGGGGTCTGAAATGGACTAATCTACTTCACAATATTTCTTATGGGAACAAATTCGGTCAGTACTGGCACCTGAACATACTTCTGGAGTGAAAAAATATCGTTAACCGGGGGTCCACTGTATATATACAGTGGACTCCCGAGTTTCGTGAGCCTCATGCTTCCTGAATTTTGACTCTTGGCAACTTTTTTCATCAAAATTAAGCCTTGTGGTTCGTGATTTGCCTTGTGATTCGTCCGTCATACGAAACGTGTCCGTGTGGCCAGGAGTGGTTGGGCATACACAAGGCTCCAACACAACATTCAGGAGTCAGTGTGGCATTGTCTGTGGCCAAGTGACCACTGGGTACTTCCCCACACAAACCAGCCAGGGTACTTCCCCACACAAACCAGCCAGGCTACTTCCCCACACACACAATTTGACCTGCCTAGTATGGGCTAACAGGTCTGCTGCAGTGTTCCTGCTTTCTTATGTTCCATACACCAACAAGAGTCTTACTGCTTGGATAGCATTTATTCTGTTACTGGGTTGGATTTGTGAAGGACCTGCCTAGTATGGGCCAACAGGCCAACTGCAGTGTTCATCCTTTCTTATGTTCTTCTTAAAGGTAAGTGTGATGTTGTTATTGTTTTATACTTGATTTCTCATTTTTTCAGTATGTAAATCTATATATTTAATCTACAAAAAAAAAAAAAAATTTGTTAATATACTTTTGGGTGTCTGGAATGGATTAATTGGATGTACTACATTATTTCTCATGAGGAAAATGGTTTCGAGTTTCATGAATTTCGACTTTCGGCAGACTCTCTGGAATGGATTAATCATGAAACTTGGGGGTCCACTGTGTGTGTGTGTGTGTATACTCACCTAGTTGAGGTTGCAGGGGTTGAGTCCAAGCTCCTGGCCCCACCTCTTCACTGGTCACTACTAGGTCACTCTCCCTGAACCGTGAGCTTTATCATACCTCTGCTTAAAGCTATGTATGGATCCTGCCTCCACTACATCGCTTCCCAAACTATTCCACTTCCTGACTACTTTGTAGCTGAAGAAGTACTTCCTAACATCCCTGTGATTCATCTGTGTCCCCTTGTTGCTGTGTCCCATCTCTGGAACATCCTATCTTTGTCCACCTTGTCAATTCCTCTCAGTATTTTGTATGTTGTTATCATGTCCCCCTATCTCTACTGTCCTCCAGTGTCGTCAGGTTGATTTCCCTTAACCTCTCCTCGTAGGACATACCTCTTAGCTCTGGGACTAGTCTTGTTGCAAACCTTTGCACTTTCTCTGGTTTCTTCATGTGCTTGGCTAGGTGTGGGTTCCAAACTGGTGCCTCATACTCCAATATGGGCCTAGCATAGATGGTGTACAGGGTCCTGAACGATTCCACATTAAGATGTCGGAATGCTGTTCTGTGGGATCTCGCTGGTCACAGGTGTTCACTCTGACACCTCGCCACGTACCATGACTCGCTGCTGTTTTCCTGACAAGTATTCCCTGATCCATTGTAGTGCCTTCCCTGTTATCCCTGCTTGGTCCTCCAGTTTTTGCACTAATCGTGTTGTGTGTGTGTGTGTGTGTGTGTGTGTGTCCGTGCGGACGTGCTGAGCAGTAGCTCCTGATTGAGTTGGCTTTTGCGCAGTGTTGACGTGTACTTAGCTCTGTGAAGACCTGTTTGCGCGCTCTCTACGAATTGAAGCAAGATGCCCTCCATCGAGCAACTTTACCAACAGCTTAAGGAAGAATTGAGGATAGCGAAGTTGGAGATTCGGCGACTGACCGAGGAAAACAAGAAGATTCGTAGTAGTCCTCCTGTTTTGAGTCCTCAGGTCAAGAAGGGAAACTGGTCAGTGGCTAGACAGCAGGGAACGAAGTTGACAATCAAGAAGACGAATGGAAAGATAGAAACGATGAAGAAGAAAGAGACTGCTGTGGAAACTGTTGTGGAAACATCTAATACATTCTCAGTGCTACCCGACGAATGTGAGTCAACTACTGGGAACATCACGACGAACGACACCAAGGAAGATAAGAATATTGTTGTTGTTGGGGATAGCCAAGTTAGGTATAGGATAGGGGTTCTGCTTGAAGGACAGGAGTAGGAGACAGAGAGTTTGCTTTCCTGGGGCTGGGATGGAGGATATTGTTAGCCGTCTGGATGACATCATGAGAGTAATGGGAGCAATCCTATTATCTGTCTCAGTGCTGGAGCAACGATGTTGGCAGACGTAGGAGTGAAGACCTGATTAGCAGGTATAGGTCGCAATAGAAATAATTAGGAGTAAGGGTGGGAACCCTGTCATATGTGGTATTTTGCCAAGGAGAGGAGTTGGAAATGAATGGTTGTCCAGGGCAATTGGTGTCAATTGCTGGCTGGACAAATACTGTAAGAAAATGCGGTAAACATTCATTGACAACTGGGACTCTTCCATGGCAGAAATGACATGTATGCCAGGGATAGGGTTCACTTATCTAGGTCTGGGGTGGTAGCACTGGCAACTGCAGTGGAGGGAGCAGTTAGGACTTTAAACTAGGAATAGTTAGTGGTATGGGTTTTGGCAGGAAAACAGTGAAGTCCCAGTGTAGTAATATTACGAGTTCTAGGGAACTAGTAATAAGCAGAACGAGGTAGATATTGAAAAAGCCAGAACTTTGGGTGATAAGGACAGTAATAGGTTTAGTAAAAAACAGAAATAGCAGGAGGGGTAAAGGA